ATTCTGCTACTGGATGTTTTTGGAGACGCCTTTGCCACTTGATGAGCTGGTTGCGCAAACGCAGTTAGCCCCACGGTTGGGAGATACACGAGTGACACCTTCAAGCATCCTCACTGCAGGTCCGCTCTTCTTTATTTTACGAGCCGGTCCCAAGTCCGGTAACCAGCATTCCTGGATGGGCCACTGAAGACAGGCCAAAAGTATTGCTGGTAGAAGTGAGGGTTGCTGCAGATTCCAGTGCTGCAGCGGGAGCCAATCAGGTTCGTGATCACCTGGGCTTCATGTGTGGGCGAAGATACTGGCCAGGCATTATGTACGCACCAACGCTTCGGGGCGGACTGCAAGGTACAGTGTTTTCACTGCCAGCGAGCTCGCGCCTATGCTCAGTGCTTGGTTTATTTATTTCGTATTTGCTTTTGTTATTCATGTTGTATGACTATTCATTGCCACTTACGGTTGCCAGGCTTTGCGGCAATCAGGCATTTTGGGATGAATGTATGGCCACTTGCGGTTGTCAGGCTTTACGGCAACCAGGCCTATGGGCAGGGCGCCGTCTTCGGCCCCTACATTGTGCTGCTACAGTTTGTCTCTATGCAGATGAATTCGTTTTTGCTGAGGCGACGTCTGGGACTGCTCTGATGGCCCACCTCATGGTGCTTTCACTTTCGGTTGCAACAGCTGGAAGGATATGTGACGACATTCGTTGTGGACACTTCGTTCCTGTTTCCCACCTAGCCCTTCTGGGAGTTCGTGGGTCGGCCCATGGCGAGTTTTCGGGCAATGAGGCAACTTGCGCGATGCGACGAGTCACTGTAGTACCAGACTCTCCATGGAGGTCCTCAACTGTCTGCCCTATGAGTTTGGATCATCGTTGAGCTGACCATATTTGACTCAGTTCTTTGCTTGTACAATGCATGTGCTGGAGCAGTACCACGCACTCACCCCATACTTGCTTGGTTTTTCTTGGCCACTTGCGATTGCCAGGCTTCACGGCAACCTGGCCTGTGGGCGGGGGCGCCGTATTATCGGCCCTTCTATTCAATATGCTGCTGCTATTTTATTTTCTTATCTGGTGGGTGCATTGGGCTTCCTCAACGTGATGGTCCCCTACGCTGTGTACCTGCCGCTGAGGTGTTCTTGGGATTGCTCTGATGGTTCTCTTTCCTCGTGGGGTGCTTCTGCTAGCTTTCTTTCGTGGAGGCTGCCGCTTTGGCCAAGCTTGCCCTTTGGGCAGGACGACAGAACGATGTGCCAATGTGTCTGTCAGCGGTGGCTACGCTGCCCAAAAGCAGTGGTTCCAGAATAGTTGGCGGTATGCATGGAGGCTTGTTGTGGACTCCGTTTCACTTGAAATTGGCCTGTGGAGTGCATTTCGATGCTCTAGTGGACTCTGAGTCCGTCCCTCCATGGAGGTCCTCAACTGACTGCTTTTCATGAGTGAGATCCATCATTGAGCTGACCATTTGTAGCTCAGTGCTGAAGTTGTACAGTGTACAGGGCTTGCGCAGCACTTGTCTCGGGGTTGCCGTTTCCGGCCCCCTGCCCAAGGCAGAGTGGCGTGATGTGTTTTTGCTTTCTTCGTTTTGACAATTCATTCACTGTTCAGCTGAGCTGTCACAGTTTACTTCCTAGTTAGTAAGCGCGAGAACGCTAGGTTGATCGGCTGTGAGCGCTGGAGACCCTGTACTGCACAGTTTGTTGAACTTCGGTTCCTGTGCAGTTGCCTTGCATGTCCATACCCGAAGCTGTTAACCGCCGCCACAGAGCGGCCGCGACAACAAGTCGTGAGCTACAGCTAGCTAGTAGGTCAGACCAGACCGCTGCGGAATCGAGGTCGAGTTCGAGTTCGAAACAGGTCGTGTCAGCATTGTGTTTGCAAGAGGGGGGGGGCTGCGCCCTGCCCCAACCCCCCGCTTTTTTTTTTGTAAGCCGTGCGAAGCGTGCTTCAAAACCTAAGAAACTTTTTGAACCCATCATGTTACACCAGGGCACCAAAACTCAATTGGATTTCCTTGCGTGTAGGGTTCAGCACGCGACTCGCGCTGCCAGACTCAGCAGACCTATGCACCAAGTCGCCCTAGGTAAGTGGAAAGCCAATCACCATATCCCAGTGCAGGCAAACAGTCGTAGAGTCGCGCCATGTCGTCTCCCGAACCCTATCAAACCTTCGATGGCTTCTAGGCAATGCATCCAAGACTCCATTGCGCGGGAAGATGATCGAGCTAAGAAATTAAAACAACTTATCGATGATGACATTCAAAAGCTTGACCCGGACTTGCATCTCCACAGCTTCACGCGGCAGGTTGATGAGATCATGAAAGAACACTTGCAAACCGTCTATCCTCCCGAGCCTGAGGTTGATAACCGTGTTTCGCAGAATCCGCAGTTTAAGCGCACTGCGAAGGAGATGTGGGCTAAGTACAGGGAATACAAATCCACCAAACCGGACAGCTTAATTGAGGTTCTCCGGAAATGGAAAAAGTACACCGAGTTTCGCGCGGCATCTAAAGCGATGAAACAAACAGCTAAGAAAATTAAGCGTGAAAAGCTACAAGCTGTAGCAGAGGACCTACAAATGGCGGCTGCTAAGGGCGATCAAAGGAAGGTGTGGATGAGCGCTAGAAAATTAGCTCCTTGGAAACCCTTCGCACGCACTCACATCCGCAGCGAAAATGGGGAGATCCTCACTCCCAAAGAACAACTGGCTGAGCTCATTCAGCACAGCAGCAGTAAGTTTTGTAAGGGAGAGGACTATTCGCCCACTCATCGAGTCACTGAACCCATTCTTGTTCAGGCCAAAGACCTCGTATGGGCTCTAGGAAAACTACCATATCGCAAAGGGGTGCCGAAGACGTCGGCCCCAGCCGCGGTTTGGAGATTGTGCCGTGACCAGGTCGCTAAAACGCTGGAGCCCATCCTGACGCGGTCCTGGGGGGAGGATTCCCTATGCGTCATCCCACACGTCTGGAAAGACACATACCTCGTTTGGTTACCTAAACCACAGAAAGACCCCAGCCGCCCGTCCGGGCTTCGCCCTATAGGACTCTCCCATCCTCTCTCGAAATCGGTATGTGCTCTACTGAGAGAACACGTCCGTCCACTTCTCGAGGAGGCGCTGGTCACTCGACCGCAATTTGCATACACAGCCGGCAGGGGGGTCCTGGATGCTCTACTGAGAGTGCACAATCACCTGAGAGAGGCACGAGCTTATGCGACCATGAGCAAACAAAGCATATATGACCTACATGCCGGAGCTACGCAAGTTAAATGCGCAGGTGGCATCTGTTTTTCCCTCGACCTAGAGGGGGCGTTCGACAATGTCCCTCGCACTGCTCTTGCCACTAGCCTACGACGCCTCGGGGTCTCAGAAACGCTGGTGCAACTCCTTATGCAATTCCATTTTGAGGCCAGGTATCACTGCTCGGTTGGTGCCCATGAAGACTATGTCACAACCACACGAGGCATCAAACAAGGCTGTACCGTCGCGCCGTATCTGTTTGTAGCACACACAATTGCTATCATTGATACACTGGCGGAGCGCCTAGGCTGGGACTGGGTCACGCAGCTGTTTACTTTTTACGCCGACGACGCCTTAGCAGCATGGACGTTAAAAAGCGCCGAAGACCTACAGGGTGCCATTTGTGGCATCCAAAAAGTCGTGCAAACTTTTAACGACCATGGCATGACTCTCAGCGCAACCAAATCAGTCGTGCTGTGTCACGCCAAGGGGGCAGATGCGATTAGAATTTTGCAGAAACTTAAAGTCTTTAAAGATAAACTCCCACACCTCGCATTTATGCAACACGGCGAGCAGATTCTGATCCCCCTTAGGAAAACGCATCAGTACCTAGGTACCGTCATTTCCTACAGAGATGCCCAGGAGAAAACTGTTCAGCTACGCATGCGTAAGGCGAGGGGTCAATATAGCCAGCTTCGCAAAGCCATCAACTCCAGACGGGTTACGCACAACCGCCCCAGGTACCAAATCTGGAGAGCCGGGGTCTGGAGCTCAGCTGCACACGGGCTACTGGCGGTGGGCGTAAGATCCACGGGGCGTAAACATCTCCGTGCAATGGCTGCCAGACAGATGCGTGCTATTGCCAAAAAGCCGGCGCATCTGACCCTGGTGACAAATGAACAGATCCAGAAGCATCTTAATGCTGAGGACCCCCTGCAAGCACTCGCTCACCAAGGCCAGAGGATGCACGACGCACTTGAGAAAGTTGCAGCAGAGTGCCCCAGCGACATTAGGGCCCTTCCACAGGTCCGGGCGCAGCTCGCGCTGGCTATCAACTCACTCAAATTAGTGAGTGCAGGTGAGCAGCTTCCTGATGATAAGGAGTCAGACCCATATACCTGTCCACATTGCAGTCAGCAATTTCGCACAATCACTAGCCTCCGACAGCATAAGGCCTGGAAGCACCCAGAGGATAAGCCAGAGCTGCTCAATTTTGATCCGGCAAACCATGCACTGCACGGTCTGCCCCAGTGTGCCTTCTGTAAATTCAAATACGGGGCATGGATTGGGCTTAAAGCACATATTGAAAAAGGCTACTGCCCTGTTCTATATCCGGAAAGCAGTACTCAGGGTGCCGCGTTCGGCCCCGAAACAGATAACAACACCAATCCAAAAGCTCCAGAGGCGGTCACTGCAAATGAGCCGCCTCCCATAGCCCAAAAGATGGTTCTTGATGCTGCTCAGCGACAAGGCTGGAAAAGTCTGCTGGATACTGCTATTGTGTCGTCTCTCAAACAACACTGCTGTGTCTGCAAGCGCTGGATCGCAGATCCTACGGCTCTGAAGAGACACATAGTTAGGGCCCACAAGGAGGTGTGGGAAGTCACCGCTAACGGCAAACTCGAGGAGAGATGTGCGCAAGTCAAACCCCGACTCCTCAGAAATGGCACCTGCCCTTGGTGCGAGAGGTCCTCCCCCTCCAGACATTACTTCCAATGTAATGTGATCTTCCAATGTGCCCTGATAGGACTACACTGTGAGCATGACGACGGAAGTGGTGAGCGTCTTCGGCAACCTACTACCGGGGCTGGCGACGAACATGAGAGAGACCTCGAAACAGCCGAGAGAAATGGATCGGGAGACCGAGAACGCACCGAACAAGCGACCCAAAGCGGCCCGGCGAGGACAAAGGGGAGGCCGACGGCAAGTTGCGGACGAGAACCTGAACTCGGTGGTGACGCTCCTGGCAAATCTCTCGCTGCAGCAGGAGGACGCCCTGAACCGTCTGCGCCTGGACACATCCTTCACCTTTCACCTCCAGCAACAAGGCCCAGGAACTATATTGCTGCCGCTTTTCAAAGCCGGGCAGGAATGGCAACAAAAACAAAAGAAAGGGGAGAATGTCCCCCCGATGAGAATCGTCGCGCTGGGCCTCCTGCTGAGGAGGTCGTGGCAAGAGTCCAACTCATGGTAGGCGACCCCACGGCGGTGGAGAATGCAATGAAGCACCAGTGGCTCGACCAGCAGAAGCGCTTCGTCTATCAGGAGTGGAATTCGGCCACCAAGAAGGTGGAGCCGTCGGCGACAGCCAAGAGCCTGACGGTGGAAGAGGCGACGGAGCTCATCAATCAGGTCGCAGAGCTTTGTCTTCCGGATCTGGTCACCAGGTTCTGCGCCCAAAGGCGTCCCAAACAAGAGCCCCAGGAAGGCGACAAAGCAGTGTTCCTCATCGAAGTAGCCATGAGAGACCCGAGGGCAAACATCCTGCATCAAAAATTGCGACAGTTGGCCAACTGCGCAGTTTGGAATGTGGTGGGGGCGCAACTACAGCCGCCAAACCAGCAACGCCACGGCCTGGCAATGGCATTGCAAAAGGCACTGGAAAACATTTGAGTGCCGCAGGATGTGCACGGCCACCTGCTGGTGTGCCGAGTGTCTCTCGCCTCAAGCTTAAAAATAGCGGCAACACATGCTACATCAACTCCGTCATGACTGCCACCCTGTGGCAAGCACAGCTCAGGCCGGGGAGCCGCATACCTGATGCTTGGCAGAAGGCACTTGCCAAAACGCACTGGGATGCAGCGATGTTTCTCCGCATGTACATGTTAGGCTGGATGCAGCCCACCAGACAGCGTGACCTGAGTGAATTCATACAGTTCATCATCCCTAAGCTGGCATGGACTGATAGTCTCATTCACTGGGAGGCCAGAGTAGCAGTTGATGAGGGGTGCACTGTTGAAATCAGGGAGGCTGCTGCACCTTTGCTACTTCTTGCGGCACCTGGAGGTATCCAAGACTGGGGAGCTGGACGCACTCATCCTTAATTGGCATCTGCAGGCCCAGCCGCATGCATTATGTGCACCTCCAACTCACATTTTCCTTGTCCTCCCTAGATACACCACGATCAATGGTGTCACGAGCAAAACCCGAGTGCCTCTGACACTCAACAACCGCTGCGTCCACTTACCGATCTTTAAGAGTGAAAGCAGCGTAGCCTGTGATTGGACTGCCTACGACCTCGTCTCCATAATTGTGCATCTAGGTGACACCGTTCTCACAGGGCACTACAGAACCGTTGGCTTGATACCGGGCAGGTCAGATGCCTGGTACATGGACGATGGTGCCACATCGGAAAGGCTTGATGCCATAAGCCCCGAAATCCAGTCCAACTGTTATGTGCTTGGCTGTATCCGCAGGCCCCCCGCTGGGGAAAGCGGATCGGCCTGACGATGAGAGCTGACTTTTTCTCATCAGCGCGGGGGTGCACCCCCCTTCCGGGTGCACGGGGTGACAGGCTAGCAACCCTGTCTAAGCCATCTTTTTCTCTGGCATTTTGTACAGAAACGGCACATGTGAAGCCGACCTTTCGGCCACATCGCCATAAAACCTGCATCTCAAGCCCATATCGCCCGACTGCAGAGTCTAGTGCGTCGAAAAATGAGATGGACTCACTTCTCCCTGGGTGCTTTTGCTCCTCTTCTTTAGTGTACCGAATCCTTTCAACTCACGTCACCAATGCAGCCGTGCGTTGCTCCATCAGCACGGGGGTGCCGTTCCTGCATCGGAAATTTGCGGCACAAGCGTGCCCACACTGTTTAGCCCTGTGAGTGAGCGGACTGTGAGACCAGCCGTAGAGTAGTATCTCTTGTATATACACTGTCCATTAGAGTTTGTGTAAATACGTTCTTTTCCTGTCCACGGTAGGTCCGAGTAGGCTCTGTTGCGCTTGAGACCGTTTTGCCTGCAGTCTAGTTGAACTCCGGTTCTTGCGGGACGTCTCTTGCTATCCATACCCGAAGCTGTTAACCGCCGCCGCAGAGCGGCCGCGACAACAAGTCGTGAGCTACAGCTAGCTAGTAGGTCAGACCAGACCGCTGCGGAATCGAGTTCGAGTGAACCCATCATGTGAGCATTCTGTTTGCAAGTAGGGGCAACCTCCCGGCTTTTTTAAAGCTGTGCGAGACGTGCTGCAATTCTTATGAATCTTGTTGAAACCCGTCGTGTGAGCATTGTGGTTGCAAATGGGGGGGCTGCGCCCCCCCCCCCCCAACCCCCCCTCCCCAACCCCCCCTCCCCAACCTCCCCTCCCCAACCCCCCCTCCCCAACCCCCCACCCCTGCTTCTTTTAAGCCGCACAAAGCGTGGTTCAAAGCCTGTGAATCTTGTTGAACCCAAATCCGAAGCCTCTGAAGCAAGGAGCCCAGCGAGCTCCGTGGCGTTGAAGTACGAGGCTTCTGCGGTTTCGGGTTTTTGTTGAGGATGTTTGTAGGCCTTTAGTTCAGAAGCTGCGACGGACTTCAAGCGGGGTTTAGGGTTGAAGGACCCCCCCCCCCCAGGGTATAGGGTTTAGGGTCTAGGGTTTAGGGTTTACGGTTTAGGGTTTAGGGGTTTTGGTTTAGGGTTTAGGGTTCCCCCCCAGTGTGCACTTCTTGAACGAACAGGCCTAGACTGGGTTTGAGATCTTGGGGGGTTTGTCTGTTTCAATGGTTTCGCACATGTTCTATTTCCCCCTTGGGAATTATTTTTTTAGTTTATACATCATTTTATTAAGGTTCTAAGGGGAGTATAGTGTTGGTGTTCCGGAGTTCTTGAGACCCCCAGGAGTTCAGCCATCAAACCGAGATCCTCAAGCCAGATCCTGCCTGTCGAGTCATTCCTTCAGGGAGGGGTCCAGGTGCTTGTTCACACGCTTCGAACGCGGTGCTGGATTCATGATGACTGGGGACACCTTGTAGTTGTTACGCTTTAGACGTAGGACTTCCTTTGGGGGTCTATTGGTTTTCTTTCCCGCCTGGGCCTTGTAGGGCTTAACTTATAAGGCTTAAAGAGGTTTATTGAAGATGTTCTCTGTTGCCCCCTCAGCCGTAGCTCTAAGTCAGAAGCCTGGGTTTAGGGTTTAGGGTTTGGGGTTTGGGGTTTAGAGTTTAGGTGACAGTCTTCTTCAGAGGGCCTGAGGGGCCTTTGGGCGCCCAAGATGAAAGGTGGGTTCGGGGGCTCTGGGATGCTCCGGCGTGGCGGCTTAGGATTTAGGGTTTAGGGTTTCGGGTGTAGGGTTTAGGGTTTAGGTTTTAGGGTCTAGGGTTTAGGGTTTAGGGTCAAGGGCTTCGGGTTTAGGGTGCAGGGTTTAGGGTTTAGAGTTTAGGGCGACAGGTCTGTTGGAGGGAGTGGTCTCAGGTTGGTTTAGGGCCCTCGAAGCAGTGCAACGCGACCTTCAGGCCAGCGACAGGGATGAAAGCACCTGCGCTGACATCACGCCGCGAGGTGCGGCCGGGTTGAGTGTCTATAGGGTTCGCCGTCAGGGTACCCTGAATCACAAGCTAGCTTTGCGCACATGCGAAAGCTGGAGTCCGTTCTCGACTTGACAGTCTTTTCACGTTCCGAAGGTTCGGCGTTCCAACATCCTGCTTAATATCTTTCGACCGAAGCCCTAAGCCCTAAGCCCTAAGCCCTAAGCCCTAAGCCCTAAGCCCTAAGCCCTAAGCCCTAAGCCCTAAGCCCTAAGCCCTAAGCCCTAGCCCTAAGCCCTAAGCCCTAAGCCCTAAGCCCTAAGCCCTAAGCCCTAAACCCTCAGCCCTAAGCCCTAAGCCCGAAGCCCTAAGCCCCTAAGCCCTAAGCCCCTAAGCCCTAAGCCCTAAGCCCTAAACCCTAAACCCTAAACCCTAAACCCTAAACCCTAAACCCTAAACCCTAAACCCTAAACCCTAAACCCTAAACCCTAAACCCTAAACCCTAGACCCTAAACCCTAGACCCTAAACCCCAAACCCTAGTCCGTAAGCCCTAACCTTCCATGTATTCTTGAGCCTTGCGTTCCATCATTTCAGCACTCCGCTGAGCCGCTCGGCCCTAGATTGAGCCCTAAGAAGGGGGGGGGGTTCGGCTCTAGAGCTGGTGATGGTGTCAGATCTGACCCTTCCCCCTAGCCCTGACGGTGCCTCGTAAGTCATGCAGAAGAATCGGAGGTTTATAGGGCCTAAGGGGGGTTAGGAGAGGGCTTAGGGTTTAGGGTTTTGGGGTTTAGTGTTTTGGGCTTTAGGGTTTAGGGGTTTAGGGTTCAGGGTTTAAGGTTTAGGGTTTAGCGATTCAGCGAAGGCGCGGCCGTCACCTTGTGGGATGCGAACGTCAAGATGGAGGTGGGTTTCGGGTTTGGGGTTGCGGGTTTTAGGGTTCAGGGTTTCGGGTTTCGGGTTTAGGGTTTCGGGTTTAGGGTTTAGGGGTTCAGGGTTTCGGGTTTAGGGGTTCAGGGTTTCGGGTTTCAGGTTTAGGGTTCAGGGTTTCGGGTTTTAACGTTTAGGGGTTTAGGGCTGAGCTCAGGGACTTCAAGGGTCTCATTGACCCTTCCCCCCCTCTTCCGTCATTCTATGGCATGCCCTACACCCGAATCACAAAACCCTCAACCAACCCTGACTGAGCCGGATGTGTTAAAGTTCGCTTAGTATTTGGGGGATGGGGTTTGGGGCTGCAGGGCTTCAGGGGTTTGGGCGATTGGAGGGATGGGAGCTCCGAGTTCAGGGCGCAGGGTTCAGGGCTTAAGGCTTCAGGTCCGGGGTTCAGGGTTTGGGGCCCACGGTTTAGGGCTTGGGGTTCAGGAATTTGGGGTTTAGGGTTTAGGGTTGAGAGTGTAGGGTTTAGGGCTCAGGGTTGAGGGTTTAGGGTTCAAGGTTTGGGGTTCAGGTCCTTGTCACGGTTCAGGGGTTAGGATGCCACAAAGAGACTGGCACCCTGGACTACTAGACGGGCTTCGGGTTTAGGGTCTACGGCAGAAACCCATGTTCTGCGACCCAGATCGTGCCCTTGCGGAATGGCGCCAGCTCTGTCGTCGAGGCCCCCTGTGGGGTTCTGGGCTTGAAGGTCTTTAGGGTTCAGGGTTCAGGGTTCAGGGTTTAGGGTTTAGGGTTTAAGGTTTAGGGCTTAGGGCTTGAGGTTCAGGGTTTAGGGTTTTGGGCTTTTGGGACGCTGAGCCCCCCTAAACCCTAAAGAGCTTTGAGTGTTTCCGCTCGAGAGTTTGGGCAGCACCAGGTCTCGCTTGCTTTGGTGAGGGGTTTAGGGCTTCGGGTTTAGGGTTTAGGGTTTAGGGTGTAGGGTTTAGTGTTCAGGGTTTGGGGTTTGGGGTTTGCGGCTTCTTTTCTTGAGTTTTAGGGAAGTTACACGGCCCCTGAATCCGGTCCCTTCTCTTCTCTCAGGCTTCACAGGGGGTATAGAGCTGTTCCCCAATTTAAGGGCGTATATGGGGGCTTACGAAATTAAAGGGACCCCTACTAGAGACCCCAAATAGTAGGATTCCCTTATCATAAGGACCCCAATAAGGTACCCCTAAACCCTAAGCCCTAAGCCCTAAGCCCTAAGCCCCAAGCCCTAAGTCCTAAACCCAAACCCTAAAGCCCAAACCTTAAAG